CCGTTTAAAAAGTGATAGTTAAAGTAAAAGATAACCTTTATTTTTAATTCATATTTCTTTTCATTAGACTTTCATATCTAGAATAAGATTTTAAAGAAAAATATCAAAGCAAAATCGACTATTTCATGAAGAAAAAACCAAAATCTAGCATTCGTTATTCAGGTCAAAACTGGATAAATTAATAACCGAAATCGCAATATATACAAATATGTAAACAACACAACCGTTTTATCAAACATGTGTAAAAAATATAGCTTTAAAGTTCAAGTTGATGTTCTTTTACGTGCAATTATCTATACAGCTACTTTAATGAGTTCTTTGATTTATCTTTCATCTTTTTTCTCTACAAATCGATAGGGTTGCACCAGAAGCACTTGTTCCATTATAGGTAAATGAACTATGAGTATCCGCAACGGGTTTTGTTTTGCTCCTTACGACAACGGCCCTCATCTGTATTTGATTATTAATTTAAAAAAATTAAATAAAAAAATAATTAAATTCAACTTTACGGGTGCGGCGGATCTTTTCGTATACGAGGGTCAAGGCGTATGCCACCCAGCTGCTACAAAGTAACATAAAGAACCTCTTGTGCACGTGAAATCGAGGGAATGATGACAAGTCCATGATTAAAAATTGATAATCTCAAAGCATGTGAATGGCATTTTATTACAGACATTTTATTCTTTCTTTCCTCCGTAGCGAAAAGTAGCTAATAGCGGAACATTTGAGCATGCGCAATGGGTAAATTAATTTTGTTTTGCATTATTTTTTATTCTTTTTAATTAGAGGATACGAAGATAGGCAATGATGTTTTTTCCCTTCTGTTACGCGTCTCGATTTTTTTCCTAAACACGAGCATTCTTTGTATACATAATTATGTTTAGCGTCATATGACGCGTGGCTGCTAATGCTATAGCTTATGTTGTATTGTTTATTTAATCAAAAAGTGACAGACTGACATCCACTTAGATTGACATTCATCTGCACATATAGAAATAGAAAATAATCTGTTAAGATTTATGCACAGATTTCATTCTATTCAGTTAAAAGGCAGAAATTGCTTTCTAGATTTATAGTATGCTTTCTAGAGTATTTAATACGATGAATGTAAGGCAAATGTATTTAAATTTGTTTGGCTTTTAATTTCCTCATATTTTAAATCCGAGTTGAATCGAAAGAAGTAAAAAGGGACTATGTGACAAAAGTCAAATTTTACAACAGCAACAAAAAAAAAAAAAAAAAAAAAAAAAAACTACTATCTCCTTTCCTAAAAGAATGTCGGAATACGTTTAAAAAACTTTGAATTACATGGATTCTAGTTATATCAAACTCAGATTTTTATTATTGACTTCTGACATTCTTGTGAGAAATGGGATAGTGTTTTTGTTGCTTCTGTAAAATTTGAGTTTTGTCAAATAGCCCCTTTTTACATCTTCCGTTAGTTATAATCAGTTATAATCTGGCAGCTTTACAAGAATATCGCACTGAAAGGCTGTAAGCATCTCATTGTACCTTTCTGTAAGCATCTGGTTTTACCTTTCTGTAAGCATTTCGTTGTATCTTTCTGTAAGCATCTCTGTAATCATCTCGTTGTACCTTTCTGCAAGCATGCCGTTGTACCTTTCTGTAAGCATCTCGTTGTACCTTTCTGTAAGCATCTTGTTATACCTTTCTGTAAGCATCTCGTTGTACCTTTCTATAAGTATCCCATTGAACCTGATATCAATACGTTAGCAGTTAGGAAGTTGTAAGCAGTCGCAAGTCAGTTTTCCTTTTCCAACCCTTTCTTACAAACGATCGATTAAATTGCCGACTGGAGCACAATACGTAAAGATCTTCTTCATGTTACTTAAATCATTCTCGACCAATACAGGCATCTTAGCATTTCAAATAACCTTGCTGAAGAACGACACTTCCAAAGAATAATATTATTGCTATGAAAGAATGGTAATGACATACGTTTTCGGCCATTACGATTTAGCCAAGACAAATTCATTCAAATGAAGAATTTCTCAAATAAAGATTGATCAAAAGAACTTAATCAGCATGTTCCAGTTTTTAAATTTAATACAGTATACACCTGCATTTACTTTCATTTGCCTAGCAATGGACTGGTCACATCTTTTTAGTTCTTCATATGTTACGAACAGAGAGATTGGTGGGAGTATTTCACACAGTACCTTGGAGAATAATTAAAAGAAACCCCTGGAGAGGGATCATAATGATCTCGAACAGAGCATATTTGTAAATTCGCTATAGAGAAAAGCTCTGCATTCCAAAAGGCTCTTAGTTCACTGTCTGAACTCATAGATAAATGTGAAAATATAAATATATTACCCGGATTTTAACATTAGAGATTCTCAAATGTTTAGGTGACGGGACATCCAGTTTCGTAAGTCTCTAATTGAGTCAGGTATTATGTGCAATTGACCTAATAATCATTTTGGCCATAACATGCATAAAAACAACAACATACGTGCTTAAAAGTATCTTCAGTTTAAAGAGTCTAGATGAGGAGAATATGAAGATTTTGTATTTTTATCTTTAGAAATATGCTTTATCCTTTCTTTTCTCGTTTGTAATTAGAAATAAAATCCCTGCTCCAGATCTATCGTAATTCATATAAAAAGATTAAAAACTGGCTTATGTTTTATAAAAGAAATTCCGAATTAAAAGACAGCTATAGAACAAAAAGATATAAGTTTTCATTAATTTTTTACATTTTTCAGATGGCAACTGTACTTTTAACTGACGTCAATCGCTGACGGGAGATAAAATATCAAAACAACCCTTTTATTCCACGAATATCAGAATTATCGTTTCATGTCATCGTTACTCAACTGAACTTTGATCAACTTATTCGTATAAAAAATATTAGAACCTTGCAACGTTTTTCATATTCTGAAAGGCAAAGACAAGAAATTCAAATGTAAACTGATATTGCTTGTAGTTCATAATCATTTTCTAGTAAGACTTGTTGAAATCTAATTTAGCTTGTCTGCAATATACCGAAAATAATGGGAAAATAGGGACAATACTGAAGGAAATCGTATGATGTTTATTTTTCCATCGAATTTGCTACATTATGCTTTATCTTTTTATCATCATATTGAAAAATACTTTGCTAGGAAGTTACATTGCTAGAGGAGAATAAAATATTTCTATGTATCTTGATTTAAAATCTTTAATGTGCAATAATCAGTAAATTACTACCTATTTCTAAATTACATTTAAAAAATGACTCAAGAATGGCGTATCACTATGTAATAGTCTCAGTGAATGAGCACTGCAATGAATTTAAACTCTTGTAAGGTATTTTCTCCATCCTTTCCGCATGCCTTCATAATGTAACGGTAGCACACTCAGCGCATATTCGAGAGGCGCAGGTTCGAGTCCCGGAGAAGGCACTGCACATTTTTCATATTTCCTGCTTAAAATAACCTAATGCCTCTACAATGGTGCCTGAACTAAAAGGTGGTGGATGATGATTCTTCACCACCAAGATTTGGCAATTGTGTCCGCTAATCTCCATCTGCTCTTTAAAAGGAGGAGTATATAAAGTATTTTCTCGCTCTTTTCTGCATGCCTTAATGGTGTAACGCCAGCACAATCGGCGCGTATTCGATAAGTCTAGGTTCGAGGTCCCGGCGAGGGCATTGCTCATTTTTCACGTCTCCAACATCAAAATAACCTAATGACTCAACACTCTTATTAATTATTGTAATTTAAAAAGTAGGCTTTAGTTCTAAATCACTGCAGAGATACACTAATATTAGCATTAATCCAACGATAATATTAATTAGATACACTAATATTAGTAGTATTGCTGGAGCTGCTGTTGTTTCAGGCTTGCTCTGCAAAGGGGCAAAAGCAAAAAGGCTGTAGCCCTATAGCTAAAAGGCTATAAGCTAAAGGGCTATAGGGCCCTACAGCAAAAAGGCTATAGGACATGCTTTACGTCCTGGCAGACCAGGCTAGCCTCCTGGCAGACTTTACGTCGCCTTATAGCCTTTTTGCTCAAAATGGCTATAGGGCGACGTAAAGTCTGCCAGGAGGATTGGGCTGCGCCCCTGACTTCACAGATCACTAACATTACCAGATGTAATGGCCCTTAATGCTCAGATTTAAAAAATGAAAATTTTGATATTATTTGGAACTTACTCCGAAACAGTAACAAAGCTTATATGATTATTTCGAAATAGCATGTGGTCTCTTCTTGCAAGTCATTATTTAACTTTTTCCTTAAGGACTTCAGTGCCTCCTTAAGGATGTTAGTAACTAAAGTCGGTTAACCATCCCTCGTTATAAAATGAATTATTTATTCTGTTTTTCTTCATTATGAAAGATTGTACCATATAGTTAGATCGCGCGAACCTTGATACCAAGATATACAATTTAGCCTAAAGGAAATAAACAGATAATATTTATAAATCGAAAAGTGGTTGTTTTTATCGGGCAGCACTTAGTATCGTCTCGCAAAGTAGGCCCTCAAGTTTATGGACCTCGTCGAGTAAGATGGCAGGCAAACTGTACAATGTGGAATTCAAAATAAATTTCTATTAATATCGAAACCGTAAACTGGTTATAAAGGGGGCTTTATAGGCCGAAATTATGATAATAGAGAAAATGTAAGTAGTTGTGAGTTGGCTTCATTATGAAGAAGATTGTATTCTATAGCAGATGTCTTTTGTTCTTTTCTATTACTAGAGACTGCTGCAAATTTTGAAAATGTTCCAGTCTCTTTTGATCACATTTTGATTTTTGTGTATTGTGATAATGTTCTGAATAATTTTTATGATCTTGTATAAAGTTGTAGCTCTTGTAATTCTAAATCGATCAGCGTTGAAATAGCAAAAATAAAATTTAAAAAAAAAAAAAAATAGATGTCAAGATATGGGCAAAATTTCTCCTAACGGCTATTGGTAATAAAGATGTTTTACCATTTTTGAGTCATTTGAAAAATTCTTGCCAATCTGGTTAATTTCTAGAAGTTTTAAAGATATGTTTTTGGAAGTTAGGAGTGACTTTTCAAATATATAATCCCGGAACCTCATCAGCTGAATGCATTCCTCCTTTCTACACGCACGTAAACTCACTACTATTTATTTCATATAATTTCTTCCTTACTATATAATACAAGTTTATATCAATAAACATTTAATTATCAATTACATCAATATTTTTTATCAATGGGATCTTCATTATGCCGAACAATTGCCTGTGCATATTCGGTTTGATCATTATTGACCCCCTTTAAAATTTCATTGATCCTCAGGGCCAGGCGCGAAGGGAGTTATCGGAAATTCGGGAAATTTCCCGAAGCGCCGGTGCCTGTGACGCTGCTTTGTTACCTGATATCAAGGGTCTGAAAAAAAAAAAAAAAAAAAAAAAAAAAAGAGATGAAACATTAATCATATTAATCATTCAGCAGCAAAAACGATAAACTTATAGGAAGAAAAGGATCTACTCATGCTCTAAAAACATTTAAAAATAATCTAATGATAACTACATTAAACTCAATATCTTAATCGCTTTGTCGTTAGCTCTTGCAAATTCATAATTGTTGGATCTAATTCACTGCATGCTGCAATTGTATAAATGCAACGAATTGTAACGGTAGTGCACTCGACGCGTTTTCGAGAGATCCAGGATCGAGTCCCAGCGAGGGCACTGCAAATTTTTCAAGTCTCCAGCATGAAAAACTCTAATGATTCTACGTAGCGGCAGAACTAAAAGGCGGTGAGTAATAATTTGTCACCACCAGGATTTGGCGATTGGGTGTCTTAATCCCCAGTCGCCCTTTAAAAGGGAGAGTATATCCTCCTACCAGCATGCCTTCGTGGTGTAGCGTTAACACATTCAGTGTGTATTCGAGAGGTCCAGGCATTACTCATTTGGCACGTCTCCTGCTTCGAAATAACCTAATGACTCTAAAAAATTGGTTATTCAGTTTTTAAAATTGAAGAGCTTGCTGCAAGGAGGGCCTAGCTCCATTTTGCTGGATTTTGTGTTCATGGGCCTTTTTTGTTTAAAAAAATTGTTCTTTGTATTGGAGTAGGCGCAAAAAATCATTTTTACTAGCACTTTTAATGAGGACAAACATTTAGAAAAAAGAATGACTTTTTTAAATTCTTTTTTAATTTTCCGAAAATGTAAGAATGTGGAGATGGGGCCATCTTGCTGTAAGCTCTTCAATTTTACAACATAACTTAATACTTCTAAACATTTCCCAATGAAAATTTTCCTATTTCTTAAATCCTGGACTTTTTGTTTGCATGTGTGTTGTGACGTAGAGTATTTTTTAAAGAAGAAAGAGGGAAGAAATTCATCTTCACTCTCCTAAAAAGAAAATCATAATGTGTTGGGTCTTCCTTTAAATGCAGAAGAAATTCAAATACACTGGAGTGACTTTTCCTTCTTTGGTAATACAAACTGGTATCAAACTCCCAACAGACGTAGATCGAATAATCGTAACTTAGTAACGTGACCTCGAGAGACAGAAATACTCTGTCAAACTGTCAATCGAAAAATCTCACCTTAAATACTCTCATACTCAGTTTGCATTCTAGTAGAGAAATAGAAAGAGGAAGTGACAGTAAAGCTCAAAATGATAGATTGATCTTTACTGGTTAGAATAATGTAATTGAACTTACGAATTTGCTAAATCTATGTTTTGCCTCTTCCTCCACAAGCACTGGGTTGTAATGGAAGTTTCAGCCATTTCCTTCACTTCAACAAAAAGAAAAATATTTTTAATAATGCTGATAACAGGTAATTCAAAATAATTCAAAATCGACTCTCACCTATTTTAAGGACCATGATGGTATTTCATCCTTAATTAAAAATAATCGCTCATATATTTCCTCCTTTTTATCCGGGAGAAATTGGCATCATATTTGTTACATCATTAGGATTTGCTGCATCTATATGAATACTATAAATCTTTTATAGTCACAGCCAGTAAATAGCTGTACTGGCTGTGACTTGAAAGTTCCGTCACCAAAGCATTCTCCATTTTCTTCTAAACTATTTATCTGTTTCGAATGCACAAGAATTCTATTTTTCTGACCATCCTCAATAAATAAAACATTTTCAGAGTATTTTCCAGGAGTAATGTCTTCTACGTTATCTGAATATCCAAGAAGCTCATGACGATTTCTGCACATTAATGATTTTGGTGATTCAAAGTTCGGTACACTAATAACGAAATCTAAACCTTTATTTAATGTATTGTTGAGACATCAGGTATTCTTTTGGAAGCAGGAAAGATGAAAAATTAACAACGCCTTCGCCGGGAATCGAACCACGGACCTCTGGAATACCGGCCCAGCATGCAGAACCACTACACCACGAAGGCACGTCAAGAAGGTGAGCGAAATACCTTATATAATCCCCTTTTTAAAGGGCGACTGGAATTTTTAGGGAACCCAATCGCCAAATCCTGGGTATGGAGAAACCTCATCCAACACCCTTTTTAGTTCGGACGCCACTGTAGAGACATTAAGTTAATTGGAAAAGCCGAAGAGATGAGAAATTAGCAGCTGCCTTTGCCGGGAATCGAATCACAGACCTCTGGAATACCGGCCCAGAGTGCAGAACCACTAAGCCACGAAAGCACGCCAAGAAGGTGGGACAAATACCTTATAGCATAAGAAAATGTGTTTTTTTAATACATGTAGATCATCAGAATGGTTTTCAGTTCTTTTAATAAACAACACATTTTATAATTAGACACAATAATTAAGACACAATAACACGCCGAATAAATACTAATTCAGAAGTCAAACAACAAAAATCAGCGTTAATTTACAAAAATTTTGTAAATTAACGCTGATTTTTGTTGTTTGACTTCTGAATTAACACATTTTATGTTTCTGTTCTTTGCTTTTTGCTTCATCTCTTGCGTATACATGTGTTTTCTAATTAGTGACTTCTCTCGTCTGTTTTATGAGAATACTTCTTGTTAGATCGACAAACTAATGCCTATTTCCACTTTTATATGTACTGTTATGAAATGCCCAGCTATGGTAAGATAGCTTCCCGACAAAGCGGGTTTAGGGTTGCCAGAAAATGGCAAGGGAAGGAAGAGTTCCAAAGTTGGCGCGAAATCGCCCATTTGGCGACAAAATAGGCGATATGCCATAGACGGATGGAGAACATTCTAGAACGAATTCTTGCCTGTTTGGCCCAGAATGTTCTCGAAGGCTACGAGAGATAGGCTAAAAGGCTCTATATTATATAGGCTAAAAGGCTTTATACAAACCCTGCCTGTACGCGGAATAGCAGGGTATCGTCACTTTATCGTGAGTGCACTGTGAGTTAATCGTGGAGAGTATCTTCAGTACGCTGAGTTCCGAGAGCGATCGACCGAATCGAGAGCTGTACTTCAGTGCTTTGCCGTAAAGCTGCCGTCACAGTTGTAGCCTGGAGGCTGTGTTGCTAATTATTTCAGTGTGTTTTTCGTAGTTTTTCGACGAGTGTAAACGTATCTTTGGAACTGTCCTGAGTAATACTGGCTAATAAATTGTGTTTTGATCCTTCATCGTTATCGTCAATCACTCCAAATCGACGGACCCGTAGAACGCAATCGAAAAGTCCTAAGGCAATCATAAACTAGGTTTTTGAGACTGTTTGAGACTAGACATCATAAACTAGGTTTTTGGTTTTTCTAAGTTTGTCTCTTTCATTTTTTTAAGATCTTGTTAAAGGAACCCCTAACATAACCAAAACAGTATAATTCGACAAGCTGACAAAGGAAAAAGAAGGTGAAATAAAACTGCTACTAAGAACTGGTTTTTAAGAAAGATCAAATGGCGAAAATAGGCGAATGCAAACTACATCATTGTTCTCACTTTCCTTTACATTTATGTGAGGAGGTAGAAAGAGAAGGAGGTGGAAAGGGAATAATGGTCAAAAACGATTTCCTGCTCGGACTAGATCGGGAATAAAATCATCAAGACTGTTTTCAGATAAGTGTATTTAGGTCTATCACTCTGATTACCAATTTCATAATCGAAAATATAGCTGAAGAAATCAATTTTAAAGTACATCTGCTCTGTGTTGCTTGATTATTACTCTTATTCAAAAACGCTCAAGTTGCAAGGCTGCGATTCAATGACTATGACGGTTAAATTTTTCTTTTTTTTTAAATTTAAATTTGAATAAGTTGTTTATATTCATATTATTTTATACTTTTATATTTCAGTCAGCAGTTCAGGTCAGACAGTGGCAATCTCATTTATTCTACGTTTATTTCGACAATTCTTTGATCGTTTTAATGTTTTTCTTATTTACATTGTTACCGTTTCTTTAACAAAGCGATAATCTAGTAATATACTGTTGCATACATATGACTTCTTAAATGGATTTAATATATACAAAACCGATGATAGCTTGATAGAATATATTTTCCCAAAAGAAACACTTTACAGTTCTGGAACGTTCCACAAAAGTACTTCTACAGCTCTTCTCATTGTACCAGAGCATAAACGGTAGTTACCACTTCAAACTGTTAAGAACGTTAAACACAACGCAGTGCAAAGCGCATTTAAACAACGAAGCTCGCACGCAGTTCTCCGATGCTCTGATGCTCTCTCCGTTCTCATACAGTTTTCCGCCGGCCACCGAGCAGTTTCCAGCACATTCCATTTCTCGAAATTACTGGAAGGCATATACAGAAAGATAGACAAAGTTGTCATATATCTTGTTTTGCACCAGCTAAGCCTTTCTGCCAGCAGAGAGATTACATCTAAGGGCCGGATACGGCTAGAGTTACATATAGGGATTAGAGTTATTCAATTACAATACCAAATACAGTTACACAAGGACCGAACAAGAATATCTCTAAGATTGACGACTTTTGGAGATTTGTCGCGAAATTTGGGAACAAAATTAGTCACCAAAACCATAGCCAACTTGGCGATATCTCGCCAATTTAGCAAGATAGCCATTTCTCTCTTTTCTGACTTTTCATGTTACATTATCCAAAATTCGTAACACTAAATAAAAGTTGTTGAAAAAAAAGCAAAGTTTTTTATCCTTAGCCAGTTACAAAATCATTTCAATAGTTACTGTCTTAAAAATTTTGATTTTACGATATGTTTGTATGTTACAATAATGTATCTCGGAAATACCCGCGATCGCTCATGAAGGCTTCCCTGCTGAAGGGTTAATCGAGACATTTTAGCACAAGTAGATAATATTAAGCCTAATATCAGGATTTCCTCTAAAATTCAAACTGAAAATGAGCTATGAAGTTCAAGGAGTGTGAAATATAGCTGTGATCTCCAAAAGTCAAATTCAGCAATAGTAATTTTTGAATGTCTGGAGCAGATGCGCAGAAGTCTGATTTCCTGAAGATATATTCTTTAAACTGCTGATCCTGCTGTTACCTACAAACACGTCAGAACATAGTTTAACGTTTTCCGTGGAATCAGTGCATTTTACTCAAACATGATCTGATATAAAGCAAGCAAATAAAATATACCACACAGGTGTGGCTAAAATTAGCATGCTGTATTTAAGCATTTGTACCTACTGCATCGTGGCAGAAGTTAAGAGTAATAAAAACAACAAAAAATAAACAAGCCAGTTTAAAGACATCATTGAGAGAAGGGGGAGAAAAAAAGAAAGTAAAGTAGGCCTTTTACGAGGATGTTCGTCACTCTGAAGCGTTCTTAAAACCAGAGGGGCAGATACACAAGGGACCAGTGTAAATATAGAAGCTATCTATCAAGAAAGCGCGGAGAACTCTCTGCTTGGGGTGTTGTTGGACCACATGTGATTTTAAACGAGAGGCATCCGCACGGAAGCAGACTTTTAAAGACCTTAATATAACCCATACGTTAACTCAGACTTCTTCGCTAATTATGAATCAGAAATGCGATGAAAATTGGCAGATTTATAACTTCGTAAGATTTGTGATTTTAATTATAGTTCGGCCTTTTGTCTTCTGTTTTATCCATTCACTCTTTCATTTTATTACAGTCTAGAGGTAGTACGTAACTAAATATTTAAATATAAAAGTAATAAAAAGTTGCTGTAAGTATACTGACTTGTTTGATTAGCGAAAGAGAATATTCGCTAGAAGGCTGCGGTTTGCTTGAGAACATCAGTACTGCTATATAAGTCTTTAAACCAAATTCTAGAAATTTTTATTAGTCCAAAGGGACAAACTGCCCTGAAGGACTATTGTTTTCGGTTTGGCATTTTGCGTTGGTTCACTATAAATGTCTGATTCACTTTTCAGATTGTTGCCGCCAAATATTATCGGCCTGTATTATATTTAAAGAAATTAAATAATGAAGTATCTGCATAAATGTATGTATGTTTCTCGCATTGTGATAAAACAACGGTACCTAGAGCCATCCAATTTTGAATGACGTACGTTTCCACCTGAATATGGGCATCTGTAAGCCCAAATTTGGAAATTTGTTTATTACCTATTTCATATTTTGTAAAATTTTAACGAATTTTTTATGAACAAACTCAACGACTTAAAAACGAGCAATAGCAACACTCTACGGGGGGGGAGTCTTTATAAATGTAAATATCTTTTATCTTATAAATCTATCTTATAAATTTAATCTTATAAAATTATCTATTAAATATCTTTATAAAAAAATCTTTTATCTCCAGCGCGCGAAACTGTGTATCGGAAATTCTAAAGGGATATGTTCATTTAAAAACTATTTTGCGATATTGCTATTGAACTGAATTTTATGGTTTAA